CACGTAACTGCTGCGGCCCAGGCCGCAGGGAGCAGGAATGGCCTCCTGGGAGGCTGGGGCATACGGCCACCCACCAGCGGGCAAGAGGGGATGGGGTTCTGCCCATAGAAGGGCGCAGCCCTGCCCGAGGGCAGCAGAGGAGGGAAAGAGCCCTGCCGACGGCCCGGAGAGGACGGAGGCGGCCGGCCCGCCCGTTAGCGGGAGGAGGACGGGCCCGCGCCCAACGAGGGGCGGGGCGGGCCGGGTTCGGACCCAGAAAGGAACGCGCCTGGACGCGGGGACGGTGTCCGGTCGAGCCAGCCCCAAGCTGGGAGCGCGGGGCTTGAACCCGCGGCGCTCTGCGCCCCGCCCCGCCGCGCGGCCTCTCACCAAGAGCGGCACGGCTGCGCCCAGAACCGTCTCCTTATGAAGTCGTTGAAGTCGGAGGCCAGGGTCGTGCCATGGAGACGCCGCGGCGGATGAAGTCCGGCTCCCGCGGCGGCTCCTCCCCGCTTCCGCCTCCTTTTCCGACAACCGGTCGGCAGCTCGCCCATTGGCCAGTTCAAACCCCCCCCGGAGCCCCTCGGGTTTCGCCATTTAGGCCCTGCCCCCAGCGTCACAGAGATGCCCCGCCCCACTGGGGACGCTCCGCCCACTTCCGGGCCTCGCGGCCGGCCCACCGCCCGTCGCCAGGGAGACGCGCGACGCCTCCCGCGCAGACCAGCCTGATCTTGTCCCACCGTTCAGAGCCCCGCGTCCCCTCCGCCATTTTTGCCCTGGTCCTCCTGAGCCCTAACGCGCCCCGCTCGAAACACAGTAGGAAACTGGGCGCAGAGGAGGACGGCTGAACAGATGACAGCCTGGGGCTTCTGGAAAGCCATCCTTGTGCCTAGTCCACTCAGTGCAGACAGCTTGTGCACACTACCCAGACTGTGCCCCTATCCCACACCGCCCAAACAGAAGGAAGACGCCCCACTCCCCATGCTCCTCGCCGCCCTCCGGCACGCCGAACGCCGCCTCTGTACGGACCTACTCTGCTGAGGTTCTCTCTGCTGAGCCGCCATCTTCTCAACTATGTTTCCCTATTAGCCAATCGTGGGGGACTGTCACGTGGCTCACGTTGCCGCCCTGGATTCTGGGAGACCTTAACAACCTCAGAGCCGGGGAGACCTCCTTTCCTTGAAGTCCTTATCTCCAACACAGCAGTCTGCTCCCACTAGCTCCTCCCTGGAGTGTGAACCTCAAATGCTTCCCCACCTTCACCGTCAGCCCTTCTCACATTGTCCTATCTGTTCTTCAACCCTTGCCAGTTCATGGGGTACGCGCCTGGCCTGGCTCTGGCTGCCCTTGAGCAGGGAGATCCACCTGGCGTCTGCCTCCCGAGTGTTAGTGATAATCTTTTGGTCTCCGCCCCTTTCCACGCCCACTCCCAGCGACCTCTGACCACTGCCCCATCTGAAAAACTCTCTCTCCCCTGTTCTCTTTCTGGTGTGCACACGTGTCTTTGCCTCTCTCTCTCTCTCTCTCTCTCTCTCTCTCTCTCTCTCTCTCTCTCTCTCTCTCTCTTCTCCTTCTCTCTTTCTCTCGCTCTCATGTTTATGGCTATTTTCTGTGTCTATGGATCTGTTTACACGCGCCCGCCTGCTGTTGGGAACCTACAACCATTTGGCTCTAGCGGCTGCATACATCACCGCTTGGGCCACCGCTCCGGACCGGCAGCTGCCAGCTCTGCCAGCCTGCCCGGGACACGCGAGTGCTGGGATTAAAGGAATGACTACTGTACCAAGTCTTTATTATTATTTGTTTTAATACCTGTAATCTCAGCAATGAAGAGGCTGAAGCGGGAAGATTGCCATGAGTTGGAAGCCAGTCTGGATCCCTCAGTCATAACCTTACCATTCTGAGGTTCTGCAAGATCAAATCTACAGCCCAGCTATGGGAAAAGGCTCAATGGTTGAGGCCCGGCCTGACATGAGCAAAACCCTAGATTCTGTTTCAGTACCACATAAATTCGATTAACTCCCTCCACTGTCCAGCAATCTATCTCTAGACTATGACCAACAGTAGCTTATCTGCTACTTTTGCTTCGTCTGCATTCGTCAAGTTCCTTATTTTCTTTTTTTAACTAAAAATATTTACATGCAAATTCCTGAAATTTGTGGGTATTTTTTGAAAGAAAATCCTTGAGTGGAACTGGAGCCAGGCTTGGAGGTTTGGAGGCATAGAGCTGTAATCCCACACTCATGCAGCTGACATAGGAACGTCTCCAATTCAGGACCAACTTGTGCTGCGCAGTAAGACTCCACCTCCAAAGCAAATTCTCAGCAAGGTTCCAGGGCCAGGGCGTCTGTCTCTGGTGGTGGCTACATGGTTTAAGTTCCTTATTTTCATAGAGAAAAATAAAACTGCAACAGAACATTGACTAAGACACCATGCAACGGTAGAAGCCTTCTGATTGCTCCCTCCTCCCTGCAGTCACCTGTGGGTCAGCCTGAAAGGAGTTCTCAGTTTCCTTCTGTGTGGGGGTCCAGCATACATGCCATGAACCTACATATAGATCCATCACTACCTATGCTGGGTGCTCTCTTGAGCAAGAACCACATCTTCCTGTCCTGCAGAGCCTGGCACCAAACAGGTTCTGGTAAGCTTCAGATCAAACTCCTGTAAAGGCCAGGCAGTGCTGGTTTGGCCTTCTTTAATCCCAGCACTCAGGAAGCAGGAGAATTTCTGTGAGTTGGAGGCCAGCCTGTCTACAGAGCAGGACAGCCAGGGCTACTAGAGAAACCCTGACTTGAAAAAAAATAAAGTAAAATAAAACATATTCAAAGTTTAGAGCCAAGAGGAAAACTATCATCTTACAGCCACCTAAATATTCCTATATATTCTTTCCTTTTCGGTGAATTCCAGGGAGTTTTTAAGGCTCCAGTCCCTGGCCCCAGCCACACCAACTCTGTACCGAGGGATGTCTATTATAGTCCCCTTGGCTGAGGTCTCTCCATTTACCCAAGGGCCTGATTAGGCTGTTTCCATGCAGGAACACCTGCTCCAGGGCGCTGATGCAACTACCACAGCCTTGACCTGGGGAGAAGGAATCAGTGCTTCGAAGTGGGTCTGGCTTTGTCTTCTGGTGCTTTCCAGACTTGATGGAGGGTCTGAAAGAAACTCTCTTAGGCCCTCAAGGTTTGGCCTTCTTGGATTCTCTGAGCTGCTCCCCTCACTGCTCTTCAGCCTTGGATAGATGTTGAACTCAGTGATGGTACTATAATCTGAGTGTGGTCCATGATCTAACATCATCAGCTGCACTAGGGAACTTCTTTTTTTTTAATATTTATTATGTATACAATATTCTGTCTGTATGTCTGCAGGCCAGAAGAGGGTACCAGACCTCATTACAGATGGTTGTGAGCCACCATGTGGTTGCTGGGAATTGAACTCAGGACCTTTGGAAGAGCAGGCAATGCTCTTAACCACTGAGCCATCTCTCCAGCCCCCACTAGGGAACTTCTTAAAAACACAAATCAGTTAGGTGTGATGGTGCACGCCTTTAATCCCAGCACTCAGGAGGTAGAGGCCAGCCTGGTCTACATAGTGAGTTTCAGAACAGCCAGTGCTACTGTGGAGAAACTCTGCTTTGAAAAGAAAAAAATAAAATAAACACAAATCCTTAGGTCTGGGTATGAGAACTAGGCTGACCTCAAACTTGAGATCTTCCTGCCTCTGCTGTCCAAGAATATCACCATCCCGAATTACTTTTGTTTTGTAAGATTTATTATCTTCTAAATATTTATGTGTGTGTGCATACATACTAGTGCAGGTACAAGAAGGCCAGAGAAAGGAGTTGGATCTCCTGGAAGTGGAGTTACAGACAGTCACGAGCTGCCAAGTGGGGCTGGGAAATGAACCCAGGTCCTCTGGATGAGCAGCCCGTGCTCTTGGCCGCTGAGGCATTTCCCAAGCCCCGCTGTCGGGCTTTCAGTGGTTTGTAGTGGTTTTTTGTCTTCAGCACTGGACAGGGCTCCACAGCCAGGCACCTGCCAACTCCTTCCTGTCAGTCCCATTCACTGCCGAATCCTTAGTGTCCCATCATCAAATTCCACAAAATGAATGAAATGTTACTTGCTCCTGATCACAGCCACCCAGAGGTAATGGTTTTTACCCTCAAAAGAGCTTCTCACCCTCAGCTCTGAGAGTCCTCGGAGCCAAGGCAGGTCCTCACCCAAGGACAGAGCCCGCTGAGAGCCCAACCTCAGGGGGTACCAGTGGACTCTGCCACTATAGGGCACTCATATAACTCATGTCCAAAGGAACGTGGAGGACAGGTGGGAAAAGGGCGCCTCTGAAGGAGAGAGCCTGTTTGCGTTGGTGGGAGCTAAGGCAGCCCTGATCAAGACAAGGAGTCCCCTCCCCCTCGATCTTACAGTCAGCTAAGGACAAGCGCCTGAAGGCTGGTTCGCCCAGAGACCTGTTCCTTTGTGACTAGTTGAAGGGGAGTCCCCCACTTCCCAAGCAGAAGGGTGCAGCATGTGGAGTAGCCTATAACATCTCTGCTGCCTCTCTGGATTGACTCTAAATTCCCCATCCTCCCTTCTCCATTGTGGGTTCAGAAGAAGGAAAGAACCTGGCCCACAAGACAAGCACCCTTCCAGCTGGTGCCTTCTGGTGGCATTCCTTAGGTCCCGAAGAGAACTGGGATCTCCCCAGCACAGTACTGGGATTCTTATGGACACAAGGATTGCAGTCACAGAGCAGAAATCCAAAAGGCAGGAGTGGGGGTGACCTCTGGCTGGACCTTGACTGGGCCCAAGCTGACAAGCAAAGGCTGAGGGTGCTGTGAGTGCCCATTCTGCTCAGAAGCTCTACCTCCACCTACCGAAAGGGACATGGCCACCCAGCCACCCAGCCAGGAAGCAAGCACCTGCCAACTTGAGCACTCTTCCTCTGCCCTCACTCTCTGTCCCTAACTCAGGGATTTCCTGCCTGGGCCTGGTGAGATGCAGAGAGGCTCAGCTGTTAGTGAAGTATAAAGTACCAACGCAGAGGACTTTTATTGAAGGCCTACTGTGTGCCAGGCACCAGGTGTGCCTCCCGCCTTCCCGCACTTTCTGCCAGCCAGGGAGAAGGGTGCTCGTGAGCCCCAGATGTGAAGCCAGGGACGGGGCTGAGGTGGAGGTAGATGGAGGCAGCTGAGTCCTCAGAGAGGGCAGGAGTCAGGATTCTAGGGTCTGGCCAGCTTGAAACCCAAAGGCTGGGGCCTCCCTTGTTCCTGAGCCCACTGGGCTCCAAATCTGTGTGTGGAATCAAGAGTCTGAGTCTTGTCTTCTCATTCTGACATTCAGGGAATGGACTATCTCAGAATAGCTCTCCCAACCTGGGAGGGCTCCAGAAGTGGAAGATGGTGGAGCCCAAGAGAACAGTCAGGCTTCTGCTGAGACTCTCCTCTCTGTTCTTGTTGCTCCTTTGGAGTTCCAACTCAGACCTCATCGGCTAGAGGCTGAGGGGGCAAGAAGGGAGCAAGGGAGAGTCAGACAGAGACACCAACAGCTGTGGAGAGAGGCAGACAGACAAACACAAGACAGATGGAGACAAAGCTAGAGAAATCAAGAGGAAAAGCTCAAGAGATGGGGGTGGAGTAGGAGAAGGGAAGAGAAGCAGGGAGCTAAGGTAGAAAGAAAGGGACCACGGACTGGTCCTCTTCCAGGCCCAGCCTCACCTAGAGCTCATCCCTGGGGTGAGGATGGAGGCTATATCCACTGCTGCCAGCCAGGTGCAGGTGGGAGCCGCGAAGAGTCTTCTGAGAGCCAGTCCAGCTAATGAGGCGGCCACTGTCATCATCCCAGGGGGAAGATGTCTCTGTGTCACTGAGCCACTCAGCATCTCCCGCATAGTGGGTGGGGGAGGCAAGCAGAGGCCGGGCTGAGAAGGCTTGGAGGTCCCGAGGCCAGAAGTATGCCTTGTACTGGTCACTGTGGGTGAGAGAAGAAAGCTTAGGTGGACTGGAGCAACTCTCCTTCTAGACCCTGTGATGCTCATCCGGAGCTGGGACCTTGGCTGTCTGCTCTACCTCTGCCCTGCCCCGTTAGTCCTCACAGCTATTCAGTGCCCACCCCATGATGAGGGCACTGAGGCTCAGTACTGAGCCATAGGATTGAAAACCACATGCACAGGGGCTGGAGAGATGGCTCAGCCTGTAAGAGTGTTAACTGCTTGTTCAGGGCTCCAGCACCCACGTCAAGTGGCTCTCGACTACCTGTAAGTCCAGCTGTAGGGGGATCTGTGCCCTCTTCTGGCCTCCTTGGACACCTTTGCTCATATACACATACCCACACACAGATACACATAATTCAAAATTAAATATAAATCTAAAAATAGAACCCACATGAGAATGGACAGCACAGTGTTCACATCTAGCTGGGCCTGGTACCTGGGCAACTTTTGAGTGGGTTCACCAAGGCCACATGGGTGAACCTTGACCATCTCCCTCTCTTCAGCTGCCTAGTGAGGGTTTTCTGTAGTGGGCCCCTGGCTAGAATGACCCTGCCCTTCCCCACCCAGTTCTCACTTTGGGTGTTGATCAAACATGATGGGCAGGAACTCATCCACAGGCAGCATGCGTTGCAGAGGCCGGGAGGCTAACAGTTTGCGAGCGCCTGCCAGGCTCAAGGTGTATGCTAATGTCCAGTAGGAGTACCCAGCCACCACCAGACCCGGCAGACCCTCCACGGCCACCTCCTCCTCAGGGTTCACCTGCTTCCGGCCAAGGTAGCTGCAAACGACACCGAGGGTGACAGGGTTACTATAGAGCCTGGGGTATCCTGGCCCTCCCACAGGTATGCTAAGGCCAGGCTATGTGGGAAGTGCTAGCTAGGATCCCAGCAGAAGCAGACCCCAGAGTCTGCCTACATCAGGTCCCACGAAAGCTTCTGGGTCACCACGTCCTCCATCAGCCGTTCCAGCCGCCTCCGGAAGTTGTCCTCAAAGCGGACGTCATCCTCAAACACCACAACCCTGGCCAGGCCCCTGACAACCACCTGTGGGACACATGACAGGGGAGAAAACTCTGCAGATCTGAGCTGCCCTTTTCCTACCTGCCTGGACTCAGGCCAGCACACCCCTCCTGGCTAAGTGCCACATACCAAGCCCTGGCCGTATCATGTAGCTACTCCAAAGCCTGCTGGGGCTCCCACTGGTGGGGACTGAGTTCCTCTTGCTCTGACATTCAAGACCCTTGAGTTCCCACACCCTGGTGTAGCTGACAGGAGATTCATGGTGACAGTCATTTCTGGGTGCATTTATTCACACATTTTGGCCACAGTTACTGAAAACTACGCTCTCCCAGGAACCTGCGCCATTGCTCAGCCTCGGAGAAGCACAGGTGCATGCATGCATGCTCTGTCTGTCACCTGAAGCTGGGGTGGGTAGGGAGCGTAAGAGATTCCAGCCCCTAAAATCATCAAGAAAAGCTACTTTTGTAACTATGGAAAATGTGGAAAGAATGTGAAATCATCTGGGTAGAAAGCCAACTGGGTCATTCTTTCAATCTGCTCACAGATGGCCAACAGAAACAAGATCACACACTCCCCGGCAACAGAAGAAAAGAAAAACAAGGTTTATGCACACTGCCTCCTGGAGGGGGCACCCTCGGGGACCCAGTGCCCTCCAGTTCTCAACGCTGCTGCCCCAGCCAGAGACTGAAGCCTAGCATGTACCTGAGTGTACAGCCTGGAAGGCTCTTCTCCCTGCCTTCCCTGACCCCAAGGCAAGGCAGACTGACAGAACCACCTGCACCGCTTCCACAAAATGCAGCCTTGGGCCTCTCCTGATTTCTGAGACCCAGGTTGTTTCCTTCCTTTTATGTGTGTTTGTGCTTACATTTGGAGACCAGGGTCAATGTGGGGGTGTCTTTCTCTATGGCATGACATCTTTTTTTTTTTTTTTAATTTATTTTATGTGCATTGCTGTGAAGGTGTCAGATCCCCTGGAACTAGAGGTACAGACAGTTGTGAGCTGTCATGTGGTTGCTAGGAATTGAACCTGGGTCCTCTGGAAGAGCAGTTAGTCCTCTTAACCACTGAGCCATCTCTCCAGTCCCCCCACCTCTTTTCAGTTTTTGAGACAGGGTTTCTCTGTGTAGCCTTGGCTGTCCTAGAACTCGCTCTGTAAACCAGGCTAGCCTCAAACTTACAGAGATCCACCTGCCTCTGCCTCCCGGGTACTGGGATTAAAGGTAGCACCTGTCATAATTTTTGAGGCAGGGTCACTCACTGAACCTGGATCTGTGTTCTGGTCCTCCTGTTTCCCCAGCAAGCGCTCTACCACTGAGCCATCTTCCCACCCACAGGGTCTCTCCCTTGTAGGAATGAGACAGACATTCTTTACTTGTCCCCTGTGATACCAGACAAGAGTCCCTTTTAGGGAACAGCCAGTGCTCGCCAGAGACAATAGAATGAATAAGGTCACCTCTCAGGGGTGCCAGGGAAGCATTGACCATGAAGAAGGTCCAGTGAGCCTTTTTTCTGGGTACATTTATTCACACAGTGGCTCAACCACCTGTGTGCCTGACACGCAGCAGTGACTAAGATAGCCAGTCTCTCTGCTGTCCCTGAAGGGCATGTGCCAGAGGACAAGTATCCTCACCTCTTCCCAGATGGAGTAGTGGCTGAGGAAGCAGCCCACCTCACCCTTGGTCAGTGTGCGGCCCGAGTAAGGGTCCTGGTAGCCAGGGAGCAGGTCCACACCCAGGTGCTTAAGGATGCTGCTGTTGAGTGTCCTACAAGACACAAGCATAAGTGGGGTGACACGTGCCAAGCAGAGCCCCCATCCAGAGGGGCCTCCCTATAGGTGTTGGAATCACACAGGAGCCTGCTTTAGGGGAGGATCCAGCTTTGTAACTCCGTGTGGCTGGAAGCTGTCATGGTCTGGATTTAGCTTCTAAGCTAGAACTCTAGCCTCCGTAAGGAAGCCTCAGGAGAAGGGACTTTGGAATCTGTACAGGGGGAGGCAGCCCAGGACGAGTGGACAACCTGCTAGAGATTTCCTGCACCAAGGTCCAGTAAAGGACAGACATCCCACAAGATAGCCAGGTATAATGGTGCAGGCCTGTAATCTAAGAGCTTGGGAGAGAGAGGCAGGCAGATCCTTGTGGATCTGAGGCCAAGCCTGGTCTACACAGTGAGTTCCAGGCCAGTCAGGGCTGTGTGAGATCCTATATTGAGCGTGAAGGAGGGAAGGAGAGAGGCGCACACACAGACAGAATAAAGCAACTCCTGATGCACCTGTTTAAGTCCAGCTCTTGGGAGGTCGAAGCAGAAGGGTCAGGGATTCAATGCCATCCTCATTTACACAATAAGTTCAAGACCAAACTCAGCTACAAGACCCTGTCTCAAAAAAACCAAGCCTAGGACCAGTGGGATGGTTCAGTGGGACATAGTGTTTGACCTGAAATCCTGAGAATGTGAATTCGGTCCCCTGGTCCCACAGTGGAAGGAGAGGATGGCTCCCAAAACTTGTCCTCTGACCGCCACAGGAACACCGTGGCACATGTGTGCCACTTAAAATATTTCTAAATAAACCTCAAAAGGATAATAGAGAAATATGATCAAAGCATGTTATTTATGTAAAATTGTGTATTATGTATTATTTATATACATAAAATACTTTTTATACATGTGAACAAAAAGGACCTGGGGGTTTGAAGCAAACAGCAGCTGGCATATGGGCCATGTGACCCTGGTAGCAATAACGTGGCCTCTGGATCCCTGGGGAACACAGCCGCACTTCTTGCGCACTCCACACTCCGGTCCCTCAGGGGCCTAATTCTAGAACATCCCTGAGACCGGCCACCCGCCCCTTGGGGTACTTTCTAGGTGCTGGATCCTGCCTAAGTGTCTCACTGGACCACAAGAACCAAGTATGATGAGGTACATCTTTTGTAAGTGAGGCTGAGAGATGGGCCAGCTTGAGAGGGTTCATACAGCCAGTACGTGACAGGCCTCAACCCAGGCCCCGAAGCCCTCTGCACTGCCTTTGGGTGGACTGCGGGAGGACATCTCATCCTGCCGGCCTGTGCTGGCACTCCTAAGACAGCAGGCCCCAGGCCCCATGTGGCTACCTCCTGGATGTTTAGGATGTTCATGCAACTGTTCTGTTTGCCCACTCCTAGGATCTCAGGTGGGTTTTATGGTCCCTGAGACCCATCCGTGGGAGCCTCACCTGCCATCCACAGCATCTACTACCTGAGCAGAGATCTCCATCTCCCAGAGAGAGGTCAGCATCCGAGCCCGGCGCTGGGGTCTGCGGGCCAGGCTGATGACAAAGACCTAGAGGAAGCAGAGGTAAGTCTAGAGAGGGTAGCTCATTCACCCGACCCCAACCCGATAGACTGGAGACTTACTTCATCAAATCCCATCTTGTTGGGCTTCTTTGGGGGCCGAGACACATGAGCTGAGGCCAGCATAGGGGGTCCATCCACTGTAAAAGGAAACAACAGCCCCGACCCCCAGGCATGACTCCCTACTGGCTTCTGGTCACAGACACAGCCCCAGCTTCATTCCTATCACTCCAGCAGAACACCTAACAGGATGGGCTCCCCGAGCTCCTACCCCATTCTACAGATCAGAAGACTGAGGTACCACAGGGAAAGGGACTCTCTCACTGTCATGACACGAGTTCAAAGCAAGGCAGGCACCCAGACACGCTTAAATCTACACCTAGACAAGGAGCACTGTGGGAAGGGAGGAACCCCAGCCTCACCCAGTGCTTCCAGAATCAGATGGATGAAGTTGGTCTTCTCTTCCTCCAGCCCCTCATGGGGCTTCACTGCCACGTTCATGTACCCGTAGCGATGGTCATTGCACACTTGCACCGAGACCCCTGCAGAAAGGCTCCCCTGAGTGCTGGCGTTGGGGTGAGTCTGTCAGGAGACACCGCCAGTGACCCAAATCTTTTTGTTTGTTTGTTTTTGTTTTTCGAGACAGGGTTTCTCTGTGTAACAGTTCTGGCTCTCCTGAACCTTGTTCTGTAGACCAGGCTGGCCTCTAACTCACAGAGATCCACCTGCCTTTGCCTCCTGAGTGCTGGGATTAAAGGCATGCATACCACTACCTGGCCCCAAGTCTCGTCTGGGACTCAGTTTTGCCACACTGATGAAGGCACCAGGCCACATCTCCAGTAGTTTTTGTCTTACTTGTTTACACACTGTAGACTTCTCCAACACCTCGGGGTCAAAACAATCAGCACCCCTTCTGATTCACCAGCACCCTAAGGACACACTGCTTGCTCTGGGGCTTGATAGATACCTCTAACCCTCCCTGACCCCCAGTAAAGTTTCCCCAACACCAGACAGTCAGAATCCTAGTTACAAGTCAGCCTCGGTCTGAGTTCAAACCCCAGTGCCACAGCCTTCACAAGCACAGTGTCCAGCATCACTGCCTTAATCTTATCCTCAGCTCTTCCTTGGGATTGTTGGGGTATTTTTGGTAGGGGGAGGGCAGATGGAGACAGGGTCTCACTTTGTAGCCTTAGCTATCCTGGAACTCCTCACATAGCCTAGGATGACCTTGAACTCTCTGAGATCTGGAGTGCTGGGATGGAAGGCATATGCCAGCATGCCAGATTTCTTGGAATTGGATTTATCCCACACATACCTAAACACTTCCTTTCTAAGTAACTTTCCTCTTAAAAATAATTACAGGTCAGGTGGTGGTGCACACCTTTAATCCAGCACTTAGGAGGCAGAAGCAGACAAACCTATGTGAGTTTGAGGCTAGCCTGGTCTACAGAGTGAGTTTCAGGACATGCTCCAAAGCTACACAGAGAAACCCAGTCTCGAAAAAACAAACAACAACAACAACAACAATAATTTTTATTATTGTTGTTATTATTATGGGGTGAGGGAGAGATGGCTCAGCACTTGCTGCTCCTGCAGAAGACCTTAGTTCACAACTCCCTTCAAATCCAGTCCAGGGTGTCAGACTCCCTCTTCTGGCCTCCCATGGCACTGCACCCATGAGGTACACATACATACATGCACACAGGCAAACATTCATGCACATAGCATAAAAATAAATAATAATGCCAGGTATAGTGGTGCACATCTTTAATCCCAGCACTTGGGATGCAGAGGCAGGTGGATTTCTGAGTTCAAGGCCAGCCTGGTCTACAGAATGAGTTCCAGAACAGTCAGAGATACATAGTGAGCCCTTGTCTTGGAAAAAAAAAACACAAATAGATAGATAGATAGATAGATAGATAGATAGATAGATAGATAGATGATAAACCTTTGGAAAAAAACAACTCTACTGAAAGCATGTGTGTGAGATGGCTCAGAAGCTAAAGGTATTTGCTATTTGCTTTATTACTGTCTGCCCAGACTCTGGATGCCAGCCAAGAGTTTCCTTCCTTCCTGAGGTCTTCTCTGACTAAATCCATTCTGGCCTGAGCTGTCAGCACACATGTAATCAAGGCCTCCTTGTCAGTCATGACTGGATACTGGTTTGTGAAGCCCTCTGCCTGACTGTCACACATGCCTGACTGTGAAGTCCTCTGCCTGACTGCCACACATCACCAGTGGATGCTCCACAGGCACCTGCCTGATGAAGCAGTAACTGAAACTGCCCAGACGGGAACAGCCAGAGTCTGTCTCCTCTGCTGGGCAAGAGACGTAAGACAGGTTAGGGCCCAAAGAACCAACAGGACTTGACAGGACGAAATGTGGGGTGGAAAATGGCATGCTAAACAGGGGGACCCAGTGGTGCAAAGCCCCAGGGGCCTCCAAGCAATGCTCGAGGAGGCCCGGTCCTCACCAGCAGCCTGACAGGCATAGGCGAAGACAATGATGTCGTCAAAAGGCCAAGTGTAGTTGGGATGAGGTGGGTAGAAAGCCAGCTGGGCTGACTCCTCAGTCTTCAAGGACACCAGGAAGGTAGAGTGGACCATAGGGACCCGGAAGCAGCCCTGGCGCTGGCGGTTCTTGGTAGGGAAGTATTCAGCTGTGCGGCGATAGTAGCCCTGAAGAAAGGCAGGTTTGGGGCTGAGGCCCAGGCCTGTCCCAGCCCAAAGGCCCCGAAGCCTCAGGCTCTGTGCTCTCGGAGTCCTCCCAGCCTCACCTGGGGCGTGATTCCGCACCAGAAGTTGGAGTAGTAGGTCTGGGAGTCCAGCATTGGGGCCACCACCGGCAACTGCCGCGCTGTGAGAAGCCGCAGAGTCTGGTTGTTGGTGAGAATGTTGTCTGTGTCTGCGAACTTTGGGGAAGGAAGATGTCACAGGAATTCTGTCTGAGCCTCAGGACCAAAGAGCTCACTGAATAGGAATTCCTTAGAGTGGCTCTAGGCGCCTGTGCCCACAGATGGCTCTGACGGTGACCAGAGAGGTGGCTGGAGAGGTAAGGCACTTGCTGCCAAGCCTGACGACTTGACTTTGGCCTCAAACCCACACGGTAGAAGGAAGGAGCCGACTCTGAAAGCTGTCCCTTGCGTCCACATACCATGATGCGTGTGCATTTACACACATTCACACAGGATACAAGTAATTGGTGTGGGGAGACCTAACCAACACAGTCCGCTTCTGACAAGAGGCCGAGCTGAGACACTAGCTCAGAGTAGACCAGGTATGGCTCTGAGAAGCTTATCTGAGATCTAGCCTAGAGGGGACCCACAGAACTGCTCTGAGGGGAAAAGTCCTGGGCTTGTCCATCAACCATATGGTGGCTCACTATTGAGTGTGGCTCCATTTCCAGGGGATCTGATGCCCTCTTCTGGCCTCTCTGGGCACTGCATGCACAAGCTGCACAGACATACAGGCTGACAGAAAACAAAAATAAGCCCAGGGTGGTGGTGGCGCACGCCTTTACTCCCAGCACTCAGGAGGCAGAGGCAGGCGGATATTTGAGTTTGAGACCAGTTACAGAGTGAGTTCCAGGACATCCAGAGCTACACAGAAAAAAAAAACCTGTCTTGAAAAAGCAAATAAATAAATAAATAAATAAATAAAACAAAATAATTAAAAAAATCTACTCTGTGCTCTAGTCCTGGGATTCAGGCTAGGCACAGCACATAAACTAAGGTATGTCCCAGTATGAGCTTAAATGCAGGGTCTCGGCTCATGATTCAGCCTGGTGGTTTGGTCATAACCAAGACTTCCGTTGGGGTTACCAATCCCTCCCGCTCCTACCTAATCCCAGGCCAGGCCTCCTCACCAGGATGTAGTCAGCTCCCCAGGCCCTGGCAAAGGTCAGGGCTTCCTGCTTCAGCTCCATCACAAACTGATGTCTTTCTCTGGTCCAGTGCTTGGGGCTCTGTTCATCTGGGTAGGGCCTGGGGGGGGCAAAGAGGTGAGATGTTCTCCTCTGCAGGGCAGTGGACAGCCTGTTCTGGGGACTGGCTGACACTGGTAACAGCTGCTTTCTATCGTCTCCAGAATCCTTGCCCTCGGGTCACCTGGCCTCCTCCTCAGGCTTCCAGACGACAGCCGCATAGTCGCGGCCCACAGCAGCCAGCCACTCCCTCAACATCGCTGTGGTGTTGTCCACGTTGTGATCTGTGGCACACCTGAGGGCACAGGACAGGAAGACTGAGAGACCACGGCCACCACCGAAGGGCAGGAGCTCCGAGGTGCACTTGTCTTTGAAGTGCCCTTGGCCACCCCCAAGTCTGATCTGTCTTGAGAGCTGTGGGGGAGAGGCATGCTGCAGTGGAGTGGGCCGGTTGCGCTGTGTGACCCCAGGCAAGTTCTGCTCCTCTCTGGGCTTCACATCCTCCCTTCTAATTTTGGGCATTGTGCTGGGATTGAACCTAGGAACTTGTACACAGCAAGCACCCCGACCACTGAGCCACAGCCTCAGCCTGATGCCCTGTGAAAGACGCACTTGACCTTGAGACTGCACCTGCTAGAGTCCCCTCATTGCTTTCTGTCTTCTTGGCACCACAGGCCAGGCCCTTTCCATCTCCGAGTCAGACAAAACAGTTTCTCTACCCTGAGTGGTGCTGAGGGCTACACCGCTCTAAGCAACCTAGGAAAGTGCTGGAGGCCCATGCTCTGTTACCATGGAACACAGCTTTCCCTCTGTTGGGGAAGGGACTCATATAACGGAGGTGGGACACTTAGTCAGGAGCCCAGGTTTTAGGCGATACTGCCCCTTTAAGCCAGTTCCCCACAAGTGAAGACTAACTACGTGTCAAGTCCTACAAGGGTGGGAACTAACTCCCAAACTGTGGTGACTGTGGGCAGCTCCCCGGGCCACAGCTCCACCCCAGCCCAACTTTGGTGTGCTGTGAGGAGCAGTTATCTCCAGCCTCGGCTTGGGCTCCTCCTTGTTTAGACTTTCACAGGCTGCTGTAGCCTCTGCGCCCAGCGGCCTATGGGACCTCAGCCCCACCAGGAACCCACCAGTCCCTCTACCTGGAGAGAGAGGCAGTACCCCTGGGGAGGGGACTCAGCCTGATACCCCTGCCCAGCATGCAGCCTGGAGCTGAGGGCTCCCTCCACCTGCTCTCTAGAAAACTCCAGTCTGACCGATCCTTGTTCCGAGGCTCCAGTTTGTTCTACTCCTAATCAAGTTGACCACAGGTCCCCACTGAGATGCAGTGTGAGCTCCAAGGGCTGGGTCAGAAAGGACAGGCCTAACCTTAACTCAGGGTAAGCCCGGGATGAGTAGGAGGCCCAAAGGAGGGGTGGATGTCCTTGCGCCGGCCCCGTGTCCTCAGAGGTCTGCCCTTGCCCCTTGATAGCTTAGGGACCCCGCTGTAGGGCTTGAGGCCCTTCGGGCATGTCTGGGAGGGAGGAGCTTGCCCGGGTGGTGTCTGGGCAGGAGCTACAAGGCCTCCCGGTCAAAGGCTTTCCTGGATCCTGGGACTTGATGCCCAGATATGCCCACCCATGGATCTCTCACCAGAGGGCCAGCCTGGCCCGGGGGTAGTCCAGGCGCTCCAGTGCGCCCAAGTAGTGGGGCAGAGAGTGCTCGGCATTGCGGGCCAGGATAGCAAGGACCACAGTGGGCAGCGTTGGCTCTGTGACACCCGCAGCCTGGAGCCGTGGTCCCAGCAGAAACAGCAGAGGTAGGAGCGAAGCAATGCTCATGGCGGGACTGGGTGGCTGCGGAGGCCCCCGGGTCTCCCACCTCGGCAGGGAGGGGGCGGGACGGGCGGGGCATGGAGGCGGGGTCTTTGAGGGGCGTGGTCACAGCAGTGGGGGCCCCTATGCCCCTGGCGGGCGCCTGCAGGCTCCGCTGTCCTCTTTTCAGCCTGGGCTCTAGATGTCCAGGGTCAGACACCTGTTCCAGTCGCGTCCCCAGGGTTGCCCTCTGTGTGGACCTCAAAAGGCGACGACAAGCCAGGGAGGATCCGGGGACCATGGTGTACCCGTCGCACCCTGGACGTTCATCTCACTCCTGCTATTCGGGCACCCCGGAATCCTGGCTCCCTGACCCTCAGCGGTGGACCTGAGGCTGCCGGCTTCGCGGGGAGCCCCGACTTCCGACCCCTGCTCTGTCTGCGGCGCCCTCTGGCGGCCCCATGTGGGAACTCCACATACCCTCCTGATGACGCGATGGGCTGGAGAGCAAGCCCGGCTGGGGCGGGGACCGGGTGCCGCTGATCTGGGCGCGTTTTCTCATCACCTTCCACGCTCCGGCCCTTAAAGTAAGCAAAGCCCACTCAGATTGAGTTTAGGACTTGGAGAGCACCACAGAACCCCTGGTGGTGACTCAGCCAAAATAGGAGATACAGCCTCCTCTGGGATAGGGCGAGTCTTAGGACCCTGTGGGGTGAAAGGGTCGGGGTGGGGATAAGGGCTCCTAAAGTTCCAGCTAGGCATCTGTCACCAGCTTTTCCCTGAGTCTCCCCATCCTCACAGGTAAAACCTGATTGATAACACCTAACATGAGGGTTTGCTAGGGGTCCTTGAGAAAGAACGCATTTGAGGATTTCTCCCCCCCCACACACACACACACAGAGTCTGAGCCAGATTGAAAGAGAGACCTTTATATTCACCTTCGCTCCACTTATGTGTCTGCTTCCCAGGGTTCCCCTTCGCCTGTTCTGGCTTTAGGGAAGGGAAAGCGCACACAGAGCTGGTGCACACTACCTATACTGACCGGAAGGGAAGGAATAAGTTCAGTAAAGAAAGGTTTACCTGGTGACGAACTGCATCCTGGGGGCTGAACCCTGGAGTCAGATCTCTAGCCTAGCTCTGGTTACGGCTTCCTGGTGGGCTATTTTCGGGCCAATGGTCCTGCAATGAGAAGGACCCCTGGAAACCTCCTCCCTCTTGCTTGTCAGTCCCTGGCAGAGGCATTCCCAGTCCCCAGTGAGGATTCTCCCTAAAGCTGTCCCATCCTACACATGTAGAGCCTCTGCCCATGGATTAGTGCAGAAGTGATGTGGTCAGAGTGTGCCCCACACACACTCAAAGGTGAGATCTAGTCAACATCACCATGGGACTAGGAAAAGAGGAGAGACTGGAGAGATGGCTCAGTGGTTAAGAGCATTGCCTGATCTTCCAAAGGTCCTGAGTTCAATTCCCAGCAACCACATGGTGGCTCACAACCATCTGTAATGAGGTCTGGTGCCCTCTTCTGGCCTTCTGCATACACACAGATAGACTATTGTATACATAATAAATAATAAATAAATATTAAAAAAACTTAAAAAAAAGAGCACTGACTGAGGTTCTGAGTTCAATTTCCAGCAACAACACAGTGCTCACAACCATCTATAATGAGATCTGGCGCCCTCTTCTGGTGTGCAGGCACATAATAAACAAACAAATAAATAGATCTAAAAAAAATGAAGGGCCAGGTGTGTGGTGGCACACACCTTTAATCCCACGACTCTGGAGGCAGAGACAGGTGGATGTCTGTGAGTTTGAGGCCAGCTTGGCCTACAAAGTGAGTTCCAGGACAGACTCCAAAGCTGCAGAGAAACCCGGTCTCAAAAAAGAAGAGGAGGAAGAGGAGGAGGAGGAGGAAGAGGAGGAGGAGGAGAAGGAGAAGGAGGAGGGAAGGGCTGAGACTGGTGGGTCACACTTGCAATTCCAGCACTTAAAAGCCTGAGGCAGGAGGATGGCCAGCCTACAGTAAGACCTCATCTCAAAAATAATCAATAAAGGGCTGGAGAGATGGCTCAGTGGTTAAGAGCATTGTCCTGAGTTCAATTCCCAGCAACCACATGGTGGCTCACAACCATCTGTAAAGAGGTCTGGCGCCCTCTTCTGGCCTTCAGGCATACACACAGAATATTGTATACATAATAAATAAATATTTAAAAAATCAGTAAACAATGTGGCTGAAGAGATGGGGCGGGGCAGGGGTGAATGGCACATACCTTTAATCACAGCACTTGGAAGACAGAGGCAGGCAGGATGTCTGGGCTACAGAGTGAGTTCCAGGACAGCCAGAATTACTACACAGAGAAACCCTGTTTTGAAAAACAAACAAAACAAAACATCAAAAGTGGGGTTGAAGAAATGGCTGAGCAGTTAAAAGCACTGACTATTTTCGCAGAGAATCTGCATTCCCAGCACTCACGTGGAGACTCACAGACATCTCTAACTCCAGCTCCAGGGGTTCTGACACCCTCTTCTCGCCTCTACCAGACACTCATATGGTACATAAGCACACCAGCCGGCAAAATAGTCAAACACATAAACACAGTTTTTTTCTTTCTTTGTTTTTCCTTTTTTTTCAAGACAGGGTTTCTGTCTTCAAACTAAGAGATCCACCTTTCTCTGCTGGGATTAAAAACATGTGCCACCACGCCTGGCTTTTTCTCTCTCTCTCTCCCCAAAATAAAGAAGACCCAAGAGAGGTCCTCAAACTGCAAGGTGCTATCTGTGAGGAACAGGCCCTCACCAGACACCGGATCTTCTGGACCTTGTTCTTAGATCCCCCCACCCCATCTCCAAAACTGTGAGCAAAAACTTCCTTGAGCTAGGCACCATGGCGTATACTTCATCTTAGAGCTGGGCAGCTAGAGCAAGAGGATTCTGGGTTCACAGGCATCCTGCAGCTACATAGCAAGACCAGCTTGGGTCAGGCATGGTGTCCCATGTCTATAATCCTGAAACTCAGGCTAGAGATCCTCCTGAACCCCCCAGATCTGGGTACATGCATGTGCCCCTGTGCCCAATTTTTACCTGAGTTCTGGAATGGTCAGGCAGGCACTTTACCAACAGAGTCACCACCCCCACCCCATCCCCAAATCCTCTGTGTTTTGTTTTCCTGAGACCAGCTTGAGTGTCAGGATTATAGACATGGGACACCATGCCTGACCCAAGCTGGTTTTGCTATGTAGTTGCAGGATGCCTGTGAACTCAAGATCCTCCTATGTCTGGCTGCTCAAGGCACTGTAGCATTCGTGTGCACGTGTACACACACAAATTAAAAATAATAGCTATGTACGCCTTTAATTCCAGCACCTGGGAAGCAGAGGCAGGCAGAACTCTGTGAGTTCGAGGCTAGCCTGGTCTACAGAGGGAGTTCCCAGGACAGTCAGAGTTACACAGAGAAACCCTGTCTCAAACAAACAAACAAAAGACAGAGAGAAATCAAGGAAGACACAAATACATACATATATCTTTCACACAGAGAAATAGGTAAATATATTGAAAGAAAAGAAGAGAGGAAGTAAAAGGAGGAGGAGGAAAAAAGGAAGGCCCCTGGGGAAAGTAAACAAATAAAACCACATTTCTCCTGCTTACCAGTAACCTAGGCTATATTTTGTCATAATGGCCCAAAGGGACTCAGGAGGGAGCTTGTGGAGTGTCCCAGGCCTAGAGTCTTTTCTCTAGCACGCTGACAGTTCCAGCTGCTTCCTCCCTCTGCGCCCTCCCGGTGCCCTCCCCGTGCCACCATCCCCCCAGCTTGTCACTTCTGTTCCCCACAACTTTCCCATCACTCCTGCTTAGAAAAGTTCTCGAGTTCAGCAAACTCCTGATTTCCACCCTCATCCAGGCCCCGCCCAGCTCTGCAACCCTGTGTTCCTGTGCCCCTGCCTTTGTCTTCCCTGCTCCATCAAATGCCCTTGACTCCGACCCTGATCAAGGAGTCCCAAGCCAACTCTCGTTTACAACCCTGAGTTTCCCCTCCTTTCCCCCAAGCCAGTTTCTGTTGTCTTTTACAGTGAAAGAGGTTCCCCCTCCTCCCAACAGAAGTCCCAACCTCCATACCATCCTTTCCTGTATCTACAACCTCTTCTCCAATCTTCCTTCCAAATTCCAAGCGACTTTAATCTCTCCCAACTTAAAATGAGAGCACAGCGAGATGTCCGTGAGGTGTCTGCAGCAGCCCCGAGTCTCTCCCTCGAGAATGAAAAAAATCTTTCTATTCACTACTTGACCCACAACAAGGCTGTTCTAGCAGGACCAGCATTCTCCAGCCACTCCCCCAAGCACACTCTTCCTCCTCCAAAGGAGCTGGTCCAAGAGGGTCAGCAGCCATCCAGCAGCTGACAGCAAGAGCCACACCCTCTTTCTGGACCCCAACCCTCCTGCTCCCCACTTATATCCAAATTCCACCTTCCCAAAATAGAACTCCAGTCTTCCACCAAACCTAATATCTCTGCCCCTCTAGGGAAGGGCACCTCTGTGTGCCTAGTCCCTAGAAGCAGCCCCTCTAGTGTCTCTGTCCCTGGCTGGCTGTGTCTCCTGCACATGGCCACCCTCCTTCTGCAGCTCATTGGCACCACTCACCCGGACACCACATCTCTCAACACCACTGTGACCAGGCTTTCTCTCCGGAACTGATCCCTGCCCAAAGCCCTCTCTAAAATGCCCGTTGCTGTGACAGTGGCTACCTATCACCCCGGCCCTTGGGAGGCAAGAGCAGAGGGCTCTTCAAGGCCAGCCTGCGCACAAAACATGTAATAAAGTGAAACAAAATCCTGTCTCAAAACAAACACCCAAACAGCAGTGCAATCCTAGAGCTCCACCTTGTCCGGCTCCAGAATCTTGTTTTGCTCACGGTTCTGGAAGCTGGAAAGTCCAACATGGGGTCAGATGGCCGGGGCTGCTGAGACAGCTCAGTGGGCAAAGGGGCTCGCCACCAAGCATAACAACCTAAGTTTGATCCCAGGACCCACACGGCGAAAGGGCAGAGCCAAATCCTAAAAGATGTCCCTTGACCTCCCATACCTGATTGGGGATGCATGTTCATATACATGATCAATCAATAAATGTAATAAAGAATACATAAAAAAAACAATGGCTACACAAAGAGTTTGCCTAGCTTCTGCCAGCGCTCTGGAGGCAGAGACAGGTGTATCTCTGTGAGTTCAACGCCAGCCTGGTCTAGTTCCAGGATAGCTAAGGCCACACACACACATACACACTCACAAATCCAGGGCTCTCTGTTGCCATCTTCGGGCTCCAGAGGGCACTCCACAAGATATACAAATATAAAAGTGGGTACAATGCTACATAAAATAAAAATAATTAAATCTAAAAACAAAATCTTTCTGAGCCAGAGATGCTGTCTCAAACCCACAACCCTAAAACGTGGGAGGTTGAGACAAGAGGATTACTTGAGTTTGAGGCTAGCCTGGGCTACATAATGAGTTTGAGGAAAGTCTAATAGCCTGGGTTACAGTGTGAAATTGTATCCAAAGAAAAAGGGAGGGAAGAAGAGAGTGAGGAAGAGGAGCAGGGAGGTTGATCTGTAATTCAATGGTAGAGTATGCTCATAAGGCCCTGGCATCCATCTCCAGTCTGGGGGTGGGCAGATATCTCAAGCATGGAGACAACAGGATCAGGAAGGAGTCCTTGGCAACATAAGAAGTTCCAAGTCAGCCTAGGCAACATGAGACCTTGTATTTAAAAAAAGAAGAAAGATGGGCTGGAGAGACAACTCAGTGGTTAAGAGCACTGGCTGCTCTTCTAGAGGTCCTGAGTTCAATTTCCAGCACCCATTCAGTGGCTCACAACCATCTAGAGAGGGATCTGGCGCCCTCTTCTGGCCTGCAGACACACATGCAGACAGAACACCACATAATAAAACAAACAAATATTTTTAAAAAAAGAAAAGAGGAAAAACTAGGCAT